TTATTAGTATTTTAACATTTACTTCATTTTTATAAGAACAAGGTCAATTTACCTTATTGTACTTTACCATTAGTTGAAATAATTATTTTTTCATATTCAAGCTGTATGTTGACATTGTCAATTAAATTTAATTTGGGGGGTATGATTCAAGGAATAAGTACTACTGAGAAACTGTCATAGCATGTAATTCTCAGTACGCTCTAATGCCGTGGTTCATCTGAAAATTGCAATTCATGAAATCTCAACTGCATAAAGCATCCTGAAATACTAATGGCCTCTAAAGTGTATTCTATTTTGAGTGTTTCAGTATTTGGGAAGAGGGCCAAAATTCTGGTGTTATACTGAGGCAGGTTCCTTATGAACAGGATCTGTAGTACACAGCAAGCTTGTGTTTCATTGAGGCCTAGATAATCATTTCCTCTCTACCTTATTATAAGTGCCAGCCTTTTGTAGATTCCTGCCAGATAACCCAAGTACCAATGACCCGGGCAAGACTTCATGCTGCCTCCCTTAGGTCACTTTTATCCTGTTCTCTTATTAGTAGTGTGAGCAAATTTATCAGCATAGTGCCTGACACGTTGAATGCACAGAACAAATGTGAAGTTATCTCCATTCTGTTAGTGAGGTAATGCGTTCCAGTGATACAGGTTTCTTGTCCAGTTTGTCATAGAATTTTCTTTCATTGCTGTTACAAATTTTAATGCTATTGCTAGTTACTGGGACTGTGAGTAGATGACAGACATTTGAGCCTTAATAAGACTTTTATATTTGTAAAAGTGTAAAGGAAATCTTCCATAGAGTTTTTTTTTTAATTTTAGATACTAATTAAGTGCCTACTACATGTCAGGGATTATGCCAGCCCATGACTATATACTCTGAAAAAAGGAAGAGCAGACTCTACTTTCATAAAGCTTGTAGTCTATAGTGAGTGACAAATAACAACCCGTCAGATTTGAGACATATCTGATACGTGGTATAGAGAGAACAAACAGGATGAGGTCTCACCTACAACAGTGTAGTCAACTGCAAAAATGGCCACAATTCTCCTTTGTTTCCACAACCTTGTAAGGTGGTAGCTTCTCTCACCAAAGCCGGAGCTGGAGTCTATTCCTTCTTCCCTTCACTCTAGGCTGCCATGTAAAGTGATTTGACCCCTGCACTGTGGTCAATGTGACGCTGCGCCTGCGCTGAGCAGGGCCTTAGGAGGCCGAACATGCTCCCACTCCGCCCCTCCTCTGTCTCACAGAGTACCCTGCCTTTTCATTACATGAATAAGTTGGCCTAGGCTTCTAGAATGTGAGAAAGCACATGGATCAGAGGTCAGTCTTCCTAGCTCCTAATGGCACACAGTTGAATGGGCTGAATGAATGATCCAGCCAAAACTGGGAGAACTTTCTTAGCTGAGTCCAGCTAAAATTGTTTACTCAAAGAATCATGAGCTACAAACAGTTACTGTTTTAAAATGTCTCCAGGGTAGTTGTTATGAATTAAATCTAAAAGGGTCATAGAAGAGTGGTTGAAAGAACATTCCACGCAGAGGGAACTGCACGTGCTAAGCCTTCTGGCTGAATTAGGTTGATGAATCATATGAATTCAAGGTAGGACCATGTGGATGAAAAATACTGAACAAAGAGAACAGGATAAGATGAATTTGGATTTGTAAATAAGAGCCTTATTATGCAAGGCCTTGTAGGTCATGAGCAGAAGGAACTATTAAATACATTTTTTTTAAGCAGAGGGGTAATACAATTTAATTTATATTTTAGAAAAATTAATGTGGGAAAGGCCAGGTGGGAGACTACAGCAGTCTGGGGAGAGACGGCAGTAATTTATAATTACCTCTAATTTTTCTTCCTCTTAGTAGATACGGGGATTATCTAGGGTTCCTTCAGATCATCTTTGTGTGTGTGCTTAACTCGTGGTCTGCCTGCTTCTAGAGCTGTGTCTAAACAAATCCATGATGTCTTGCATATTCTCGTATCTCTAATAACAAGGATGTTGCTGGGAACTGCAGAAACCCTTTGTAAACACAAAATTGTACTTTTAGTTATATGAAGTCATGTTTTTAAATAGCATGAGACTGCTTTCCTTAAGTTTAACTTAAAGGAATACTTTAAATTCTTTTCCCCCTGACATTTGCTTCATTCTTTCATGGATCTGATATCCAATTTCAATCTAACATTATCAGTATTTCCTCAAAATTTTCCATTCACTTAGTTTTCTTTAAATGTTAATTCAACGAAAGAAAAAGACTTGAGATACTAATGAAATTTTTTTAAAAGTTTAAAATTTCCAGTTGTTTTCTAGTAAATCTGAATTAATATGCTCTTCTATACTTTGATAAAAAAAATATAAAAAAGAAACAGTATAGTCAGCTTACAATGTTGTGTTAGACACACTGTTTCTTGACTCACACAAATTAAGTTTTGTTTCATTTGCCCAGTATTTTAACAAGGTCATATATATATATATATATATATACACACACACACACACACACCTTATCTTCAACTTTGCCAAATATGGATCTGAAGATTGTTCCATCTCTTGTTTTGAGCTCCATCTCCTGTTCACTTGACATCTAAAGAAGAGATGATAATGATAGTAATAACAGCACAGTAACTCCTTTCATTGAATTTGCTTTTCAGTGTACTTAGTTGTTTTGTGCTTAAAAGAGATACCATTTTCCTATGAGGTTAAATTAATTGAGACACAGATTAATGATTTACCTATAGTGACACTGTTTGTTAGTCAAAGCAAGATTCAAAGTCTCTTTCTTTCAATCATAGGCTGTTTCTATTGAACCAGAAAGACTTCCCTAGGGGTGAAAAGGCTATTCAAATAACTATCTAGTAAATGTTACTCACCTTTGTGAATTATATCTGCTATAATGGGAGCCTTAAAAATACATAGATCCTATAAGAGAGTGCATAAATAAATGACAGGAGAATATTACATTTTTTTCCAGTGATTTTGAAAAATCCTCTCAAGATTTTTTTTTTCCCAATTAACAGTGGGCTCAAGAAGAAAACTGGACACTTAAAGGAGACATGCAAGAGATTTTTATTTCCTATTCCTCAAAGCACATAGAAATAACAGGTAAAGGAATAATTCATCTGACTTTAATTTGTTTTCACTTTTAAATCAGTAAGTTCAAAACGGTGAACTAAGATTCATGAGACATGTAGAGATTATGGGGGGGGAAGTGGCTAAAAGTAAAGGGGATTGTAATACATGAGGAAAGGCATTTCTCTATATTCACAGTCTTTAACCTTGAGACCACACTAACATGCTTTATAAAATCTCCAATTAAAAATCTCTTGGCCTTCTTTAAATTTAATCCACTTGTACTTAAGGGCTTTCATAACCTGAGAGAAGAATACCTGACACTACATTGTGTCCATAGTTTAGGGAAATATGACTATATCCATTTCCTTTCAGTTTTAGTTAACTATGATTTAAACAGATCTGTTTGATTTCAGTGAGGGAAATTATCCATCCAAAAGAATTTTCTCAAATGTATTAACACAGTGCAAAAGTATTTCTCTGAAGCCTGTCTTTGCAACTTAACTATATATTTGGTATTTGTGAGCTTTTCTGTTGTTCAGTGAACATCTCACAAGGTGTTATATTTGGTCTCCCTAGCGAGACTGTAATCTCCTTGATGAAATTGATTATGGCTGGTATCTATTTTCTCCATAGTCCTTAGTAAAGTCTTAGCATTAAGTCACTTAACAAAGTTTATTATTTGTTGCCTGGGAGGCTAAAGATTCAAAAAAATCAAACTGTGTATGTTATTCTTGAAAGATCAAAATTAACAAATAATTTTTAATATTGTGTTTATTAAATATGTGTTCATTATGGCCAATCTTGTTTTTGATATACTTTCTCTTGACACAAAGTTAATTTAATTTCATAGAGAAACAGCTCTATTATACTTACACTTGTTAATGAGTATTTTTGTTCTCTTAATATATATGGAGTGCTGGTAAATGAAATAGAAATTGGCTTTCATTAATCCCTTTGTGTGTGTGTTTGGGGGTGGAGGAAGAAAATTATTTAAAGAACCATATATAAATATATATATATGAAAAAATGTATTTATACATGTATATATTTAAACATACATGTATATAATCATACATATGATTATAAATTATAGTAAGTGCTATAAATAAGTAGAGTTCTAGCCTAGATATTAACAAGGAAGAACCAACTTTACCTCGGGTTGTCAGAGAAAGCTGCTGTTTAATTTGTAGCTGGATGCTACTGACATGATTTGTGCAAGTCCATGCGATGATTAGAGTTGTATATTTATCTGTGGAGACACTCGGTTGGTGTAAAGCAAAATTAGAAAATGTAACTATATTTTTAGAAGACATCATAATCACCACTGAAAAAGCCATGCCAACATAAAATGTAGAGGTAAAAGAAGAAAATGGATTCAGAGTATTTTGGAGACCCCAGAGATTCAGGTAACCACCAAATACTTTGATTTTTCTCTCTGAATCTCAATACATTTGAAATTCTTTTAATATTATTAAGTCTGTGGAAAAATACAATAAAATTCACTAAATTGCAGCATTGGTTAAAAACATGTAATGGATTGGTGTATACATGCCAGAAAACTTAGTAAAATGTGTAATTAATAGAGCCAATAATTCAGATAGTTGGACCTTACAAAGTCTAATACTGACAACTGAATTCTAATCTCATCAAGTAGGTACAAAAGCTACTTCAGCTCAGACTCCAACCTCAAACTTCTTGCCTCTCGTTTTCTTTCAGTCTGCTGCATCTTTGTGTTTGTAATAATTGTATCAGAAACATTTTTCTATTTCTGAATATCTGATAAAACTGTTCATGCTAGCCTGTTAAACCTCAAATTCTCTTAAAAGCAACAGAGAAAAATCAAAACACAGATAATACTTTCACCCCAAACACCAAGTCAACTTCCTTTTTTTATACTCCTTGTCATCTACGTGTGTATCTTTATCCTACAGTGTGCACCAGGAATAAAGGATATCAGCTAGAAGTTATTAACCATGCCATCTGAGATTCCTGCTTAAACGTAAGTGCCAAACCAAATACAGGTAACCACTTTTTATTATGTCATATGACTGATAACAGAATAAGTTCTACTTACATTTCTATTTAAAAACCATGGTAACCCAAGGAGAAAAAGCTAAGAAATCACACAGCTGTGCTCTCCAAATCCCAATGAAGATGTTCTTTTCTGCATCTCTGTTACATGAATAAATGGGCTGAAGGATTTTGCCTGATTTTAAATAAAGAGCACATTAACCCTAAGAACATAATATGTGAAATTACAGTCTGAAGAAAAATTAAATTTTTATCTTGAAAAGTTCCCTTTCAAGCTCTCGTTCTAGCAATGATGTTGCATATTGTTGCCCGAGTGGACCCATAGAGCATCTCTAATATTCTTCTTTAAAAAAAATTATGTTGTAAGAAGTTGGTCCTTAGATTTTTTTTAAAAGTGAGAGCTTAGATTAGGCATATGGGAATGAAATAACCTCTCAATACAATGGTAAACTAATCTCCTTATTGCAAAATCATCAGTCATGCTGGGCAGCATTTATTACTCTGAGATTATCAGAGACATGAATGCTTGCAGAGCCCTCTGCTCATAAAATAAGAAAGTAAATTTTTTTTAAAACTCCACTGAAATGGGCAGACAGCCTGCAGATGATTTTGTTTCTTGTAATGCTTACAACATTTGTTATGCAGTGAAGAGTTCAGTGGTAGAAGTATTCTATTACTGTTGAAACAGCTTGGAGCACATAATATGTACTTACAGTGTTATGCAGCCTGTCATGGAGGCATTTAGACAATAAAATATCCTTGATTAATGCATTATCCCTTATTCTACCTTTACTATAAAATATTCATAATGTGTCTGGAAGCCTATACAAGTTCACTTTATAAAATTCAGATGTGTCCATTTGCTAAATGGTATTTAAAGCCTCTGGGTTAGATTTTTGTGATAATTTTAACTATCCAAATGCAAATTTTTCCTTCCAAGAAAGCTGAGTCTTTGCATTTTTAATTATCTCTTAAGGGAAGATATAATATACCCTATAGTAGGGGGTTACAGTATAAAGTTTTAGTTTCTTTAGAGCACAAAGGCTTTTAAGAATTATGCCTACTGAACTCACCAGTCATAGCTGGTTGATCCACAGGGGTGATACGTTTGGTGGTCTCTTGCAGAAATCTGTGGAGAGCTTCTCTACAATTTCTTCATGTAATATATAAAGTTGATGGTTTTGACGTGAGAGAGACAAACTGAATAGAATCTTACACAAGTTTCAGATTTGTGGTAACTTTTATACAGACCTAGAAGACTGAAGGACTAGTGTTGACATTAATTGATAGTGTATATAAAACCGAACATTTTATCTTCCTCCCCACAATAAATGGTGCTATCTGTGGAAAAGATTCCATAGCCCTTTATACGTGAACATCTTCTGTAGAATGGAATAGGCAAAAAAGACTATCACAGTTTGCTAAACTGGGTCATTAGAATCAAGTAATAAACTTGCTTACTTTTGATTATTTGCCTTCTTATTCAAACTCTACTTCAGGGAAAGAACGATAACCTATACCATTTTATAATTAACATTTCCCATCATTCATTGATAGCCTATTTGTGTGTGTGTGGTTTGTCTATGTCCATTTCTATCAGTATGTTCACTTTTAAATCATAGATGAATTAGACTTCATAAGAATTTAAAATTTTTGTGCCTCAAAGGCTGTTATCAAGAAAGTGAAAAAACAACAGAATGGGAGAAAATATTTGCAAATGAAAAAATATAAGGGATTAATAATCCAGAATAAAGAAATCTTAACTACTCAACAACAAAAATCAAACAGCCCAATTCAAAAATAGGCAAAAGACTTGAATATAATCTCTCCAAGGAAGACATATAACTGGCCAATAAGCATGTGAACAGATGCTCAATATCACTAGTCATTAAGGAAATGCATATCAAAACCACAGTGAAATACGACTTCACACACATTAGGATGACTACTGTCAAAAAAA